AGATAGTTGTGTGGTGGATTTGAAGCCCTGGCTACCTTCAAAGCTCTAGCTCTCATTTCCTGACTATGGACACCAGAATGTGCCTAATCATGGTCTCTTCCTGCTGCCTAGTTCATCCTGCAGAATGTCAAGAGCTACCATCTCAGCACGGCTCAATGGTTGAGTGTCAACCTATGAACCGGGAGGTCCTGGTTCGATTCCCAGTCAGGGCACATGCCCCGGTTGTGGGCTCAATCCCCAGTCTGGGGTTTCAGGAAGCAGCCAATCAATGATTCTCTCTCATCGTTGATGTTTCTATCTCTCTCTTTTTCTCTCCCTTCCTCTCTGAAATCAATAGAGTATATTAAAAAACAAAAAAACAAAAAAAACAAAAAAAAAGGGCACCTCAACATGCTTCTGAACCATGGAACACAGGCCTTTGGCAACCTTTGCCCCAGGGGTTCATGCTTCCCCTTTTCTGATACTTATTTTCTTGGTGGGTGGAGAGTGGTAGAAGATGTCATATTTATTGAGCAGCTGCAATGTGCAGCACACACTGCTAGGCGTTTGCATTTGAGTGCTTTTTGGACAACTTCCCTCATTCATGACCATTGTCATAGTAGGTCAGTCAGTCACGGACGTCTGTGTGCCAGACACCGGGCTTGGTTCTGAAAACACCACAAAGGTGGAAGTGGATGCAACTCCCAGCCCCCAGGAGGCCAGAAGGGGAGGTAGAGCATGAAATGGATATGCGACCTGCTTTTTGAAATGTAGGATTATCCATGGATGATAAAAATGCTGAGCGCCATCAGAGATATATCACAGATACACTCCGGGCAGCTGGGGGCGGGGGGAAAGGTCCAGGTTCCTTTATGCCTGTTGGGGAGGAAAATCAGGTAAAGCTTACAGGTTAGAGAGGCATTTGAGCCAGCTTGATGTGTAACTAGGATGTACAAATGTGGGGTTTGGGGAAGGGAAATCGGACAGACCTGGTTTGGTAACCTTGGAAACCTCCCTGGCCAGATCCCAGGGTGGCCATCCAGACCAGTCAGCTTTCACAAATGCCTAGCAGACCACATTCCTTCCACACATCACAGCCTCTGCCAAATTTTCTTCAATTCTGACAAAAGGATGATGTATTTTTTCAAACGGGGGAGCATAAAAAGATCCTCAAAACAATTTCTTTGTTTGGATGTTTCTAGTGTGTAGATTTCTGGATCAGCAGCCTTTTGCTGTGTAATTCTCTGGTAGATGGATGGATGGATGATCTGGTGTCTTTGTACCTGCAAGGAGATGGTAACAGTTCACCTGGCTGGGCTTGTAGGTAGCTATATGAAAGAGGGACATTAGAGCTGGGCCTGGAACAATGAATACAATTTTCTCAGCACACAGTCCAGATAAAGTGCTGGAGTCTTTTCCACATCTACAAGGGTTCAGGAATCTGGAGAAGGGCTGTGCAGAAATGAATGAAGAGACTAGAGAAGAAATATGAATTTGGGAGGCACGGGGGCGCCAGGGGAGGCTTAGCTCTAGTGACTAAGCTCTCTGAATCTCTGGACCCCTGGCTTTTTATTCCCACATTTTGCCCTATAGCAAAGCAGATATACATATCAAAGGTAAGGTTTGGTAAACAGTAAAGTATTATCAGGTTGGGGGAACTGCCCTCAGCTGTCTGGCAGCAGGCAATAACACAGATCTTCAGCCCTGCTGAAGCCCCAAGGTTCATCAGCCTTCTGATGAACTTCTTGCATAATTATGACCTGCTGGACTTAGCTTCCAGCAATAAAGACCTTTCATTAAGAGGGGAACAAAATGGCCCTAGCCGGTTTGCTCAGTGGTTAGAGCATTGGCCAGAAGACTGAAGGGTCTCAGATTTGATTCCTGGTCAAAAGCACATAACTTGGTTGCAGACTCAGTCCCTAGCTCAGTTTGGATGCGTGCAGAAGGCAACCAATCGATGTGTCTTTCTCACACTGATGTTTCGCTCTCTCTCTGTCTCTCCCCTTCCCTTCCACTCTCTCTAAAAATCAGTGGAAAAAATATCCTCCATGAGGATTAACCAAAAAACAAAAAAAGATGGAAGCATGAAATCCATGACCTTGTGGGAGAATGGTGAGTCGCAGAGGTTAGGGTTTAGGAGGTGAGATGAGTAAGTGATGGGACTGAGAGCACAGGCTTTGAACCAGACAGATTGTGGCTGGAGTCCCAGCTCTGCCACAGAATAGCTGAGTGATCTTGGGTAAATGACATGTCTTTTCTCAGTTTCTCCTTTCTCATCTGCAAAATAGGACTATTAATCATACCCACCTCATGTGGTTGTAGTGAAATAAAGTTTAGCACAGCGATTAATGTACACTTAATAAATGGTAGTTTATGATGCCTATTTCATTGAAACAGTTCTAATTAAATTATGAAAATGCCAGTATACATAATAGAATTTAAGGAGGGAGAGGAAAGGGGGCTCTTTATGCTTTCGCACTTAAGGATGAGGCCGAGAAAAGGAACCAGCAAAAGAGACAGAGAAAGTCCTTGGAGGGAAAAAAGGGGAACCAGGAGAGATTGGATTTCCAGCCACTGAGGCGAGCTTCCAGAGGAGGCTGTGATCCTGTGGCGCAGGCTGGGAAGGCGCTGGGATTTGCAATAACAACGTCATCATGATCTTCAAAAGACATTCTGAGAGCCACACAGCAGTGATTGGTGGGGGTGTGGCACTGGAGGAGGTGGAGGTTTAGATGACTCAGGAATTCTCTCTGAGAAGAAAAAGGCTGAGGGTGCCTTGAGGACAAGGTCATGGGAAGAGCTTGGTTAGATGAAGGTTATTTGAACTCAATTAGTGCAGCGTGTCTCTACCTTTCTAAGCCCATGCCTCCATTTGATAGACATAAACATCACTTTTCCTTCAAGACTCTGATATTTTGGCACCTATACGTATACTCAGCTCAATTTTGGGAATCGGGACTGCCAAGAAATTCTTGTCTGGATTTATTCCTTCTAGTTGTATTTTTAAAAGAGTAGGAATTTAATAATCTGTTGGAATAAAGCAGGTAGGAAATGATATAGGGTGACTGAGGGGGATAATGAGGATGGATTTGTAAGACAGTAAGTAGACTGAAGTGAACAGATGTGAGGGGTGTTAACGTAAAAAAACCATTGAAACCTGTAAAGAATTTTTGTGAGTTTATTTGAGCCAGACTGTCGACATATGCCGGGAAGCAGAACCTCAACCAATTGAGATAGTGCTCCGGAGAATGGCAGGGTTACATCCGTATTTATACATGAAATTCATTGGTGACAGATTTAAGGAGGTGGGATTAAGTGAAGCCGGGAAACCTCTGTGATAGGATAAAAAGTAAAATGATGGACACATACTTAGGTGGGTGCAGGAACAATTAACATGATGATGAAGGAATTTGTGGTATCTGTCCTGGGACCCAGCACACCTGGTTGGGCCCCAGGGGCTTCATAAAAAGGGAAGTCACAAGTTACCCAGACATCCCAAGGATGTTATCATAGATGCAAAAAGACAGGCTCAGTTACGGTAAAGGTTGACCTTATCAGTGAAGATATCGGCTTAGGACATAACTGCCCACCATAACTGCTTTTAGTTAAGGTTTAATTTCAGACCATCCTTTGTGGTTACTTTAGGTCTCCGAGTCTGCAAAACTGCCATGCAGGCCTCTCCTGAGCTTGTCAGGTCAGCATGTGGCCCCTTTTCGTCCACAGGGGTGAGGGGGAAGAAGTCAAGGAGGAACCTGGGGCTCTGACTCAGAGAACCGAGAGAGTAACCACACCAACGGTTGCACATCCCTTCTCCCTGTGGGTCCTCACCTCTGCTTGTCTGGGTGACTCTCATGGGTTCATTGAGTGCAAGAAACCAAACAGTGCATGTGGCCATCCTTTGGAAACTTTTGAATGCTTTATAAATTTAGGGCATTATTATTAATATTGTTATAAGCAAGAAATAGCACAGCTGACTCTCTTTCTTGTACACCTCTCTCTGTTTTTGTCTGCACAGCCTCTGCATCAGTAAATGTCATTCTAAATGGCAGAGGGAACTCACATGTATTACTCATATACCTTTTAACAGATAGGGAAGTGGAGGTGAGGGGGGTGGGGGTCAGGGTTAAAAAAACTAGGCCAGGATTACATCCAACAACTGGACAATACACATTCTTTCCAAGTACAGTGAAGCAAGCACAACAATTGGCTGCATCTTAGACTATAAAATATGTTAATACTAGTAAATTTCAAGGGATCAGTATCCAACAGACCACATTCTCACATCACAGTGACTTAAGGTAGAAATCAGTACGAGAAAAAACATTTCTAACTAACTAACTCATGGATCAAAAAAGAAATGATAATAGAAATTATAAAACACTTAAAATTTAATAATAAAAATAGCAAATATCAAAGTTGTGGAATGTAGCCAAGACAGCACTTAAGGGAAATTGATGACCTTAAATGCTTGTATTAGAAAAGAAAAAGGGCAGCTAATTAATGAGTGGGCTGCATATCCAACTGGAGAAGAACAGTAACCAAAAGTAAATAAGTTAGCACAGGGTCGTGCAGGTGTTAGTGGAAGATCTAGGATTTGAACATAGATGTAGCTGGTTCCAAAACCCTCCCTCTCTCCACTGCATCCTGAACATTTCCCCATGCCACTTTTCATAATATGCCCAGTGCCTAGAAATTGTTTCTCTGTAAGAGGCAAATAGAATAGCGTAGCTGCCTGTATCAAAGGTTGATGAGAAGTCTCCCTCAGTTATTGATCCATCGTTTCTTATTCATTCATTAAATGCTTATTGAGCATTTGCTAGGTGCCAGGTACTGTGATCTCTCCCTTAGCTGCCTTTTCTCTGAGGGTTCAGAGTCCAGTCTTTGGCCTGGGGACAAATCTGCCGCTGCTGCTGCTGCTGCCAGCCCCTCCTCTAGCCTCCCGCTGCCTGAATCTTCTCTGAATCTTGTCTGAACAGCATCTCATCAAAAGTGACTGATTTCTCTCTTGTCTCTTTCAACAGGTAGACTGAAATTACCATGTGTCCAAATTAAAATTGCATACTTCAAGGATTATTTGAAGGACTATTCTTAGACCCTTTTAAGAAGATTTAAAGAAAAGTGAGTTGATTTTTTTTTACACGTCAGAAAGTATTCCTGATTTAAGTTAATGTTATGGGTGCTTTTTTTTCTCTGCCTTCTTCTTAAACATGCATTAATAGGTAGGCTTTATCTCTACTTATTTTATAATGCATCTCCCTCCTAAGAACAATGAGCAGAGAGTACAAGATTACTGCTTGTCTTCCCTACAAGATTTTAGTACATTTCAAAGCTTGTGGAATCTTAGAATCTTTCAGGGTCTTTCAGAATCTTTCAGGGTCTTAGTGGTGTGGACCATTCAATGGATGGATGGATGGATGGATGGATAAACGGAGATTATAGATACTTTGCCTGTGCTTGGAAACATCCAGGGGTTGATGAGAATCTTGGTCTCTCCCCACTATAAGGATTTTTATAGAGATCTCCCATGTTCAGGATTTGAAATCCACTTCTCCTCACATCTTGCCAAGACTCTTTCTTCTTCATTAGACAGCCATAAACATGGCTGAAGACAGAGACCAGGTCTCTTTTTGAGATTTTTTTTCTTATTCTTTGTTCCTCTGATACCTTTTCATAATTTGATTTCAAGAGCAGTCCCTGCCCTATTTACCTTCTTTCTAATACTGTACATGTCTCCTTAAAAGAGGCATCCGCCCAGCCAGTGAGGCTCAGTGATTGAGCGTCAACCCATGAAACAGGAGGTCATGGTTGTTTTCCTAGTCAGGGCACATGCCCAGGTTGTGGTCTCCATCCACAGTGGGGGGTGTGCAAGAGGCAGCCAATCAATGATTCTCTGTCATCATTGATGTTTCTATCTCTTTTTCCCTCTCCCTTCCTCTCTGAAATCAATAAAATATATATATTTTTAAAAAGATAGTTACATTATATATATTCAACAAAGGTTTCATCACACACACACACACACACACACAGCTTAGTGTTCAATAAAACACAATAACAAAGGGACCTGCATGCAGATTTTTGAAGCTCATTTTCAATGTGGCTTTCAGTAGGAAATAAACAAGAATTGAGGTAAACCATGTGACTTGACATGTTACAAAATCAATTACCAAATTTCAAAGTTGTGCCTCAAGTCAGATCACAATCTGAATCTGAGTAAAAAGAATAGCAAGGGTAAGCATTGTGAAGTGAGACTTGAGTTACATCTGTGCTATGTATGAGTCAGAGTCCAAAAACTTGATAGCCACTGATTCAATCTAAGCCTCCCATTTGAAGATGAGGAATCTGAGGCCCGGAGAAGGGGGCTTAGGAGCAGAGCTGGGAAGAAGACTCTAGGTCTCCTGCCGATTCTGTGTCTTCCTGTTGCCAACCTCGATGAGCTGAATGGCGCATTCGGTTGAGTAGGCTTCGTCTGGCACCTTAATCTCTGGGAGGCAGCCCTGTGCTTTTGGTCCAAGGGGAGCGATTGTTTTTCCACCCACAGACGGGTTCAGTGGGAGGCCCAGACACCTCTGCAGGGGCCTGGCTCCAGCTCCCCGGGCCCCTCCCTCCTCCTTCCTGCCTCTTCTGCCTGATCTGCTTCCCCCCAGAGCTCCTGAAGCACCTCACACTCAATCGTGTTTTCGTTTGTGCGAAAGGACTGTCGTGCCAAAGCTATTTTATGGTTGTAGAAGTTAGAAAACTGTGAAGAAAACACACTGGGAGAGGAAGATCCAACAAGGCATGCTTTGGTTCTGGCCTTGTGCTTTTATCTTGTTGCAAAAATGTGAATCCCTTCAGCCGACCTCTCCTGCGGGAGCCACGGCTGCCAGCCTCTGAGGCACAAGGACAGCAGGCAGCAGCCGTCCCTGCCGGGCAGAGCTGCACAGTGCAGGCGACTGTCCTATGGGGTTTAAAAGGCTCACACAGGGCCTGGAACCAGCTTAAATAGGCGGGTTACATAACAGCAGTGGCGTCTCACTATTTTGACTTTAGCCAGCAGCACAAAATACAAGAGGCGTCTTCGCTCAGGACACATGTCCACCACAGGGAGACCCTATGGTTCAGGATGTTATAGCCCAGGCCCCCAGGAGGGTCATCTAGCCCAACCTTGGGGGTAGGGAGCCAGGGCAGCCTCGGAGACAGTTTCATAAAGGCCAAGAGGTTTGTGCTAAGAATTAAAGAAAGGGAAACCAGCCCAGCCAGCATGGCTCAGTGGTTGAGCATCGACCTATGAACTAGGAGATCATGGTTGGATTCCTGATCAAGGCACATGCCCAGGTTGTGGGTTCCATCCCCAGTAGGGGGCGTGCAGGAGGCAGCCAATCAGTGATTCTCTCTCATCATTGATGTTTCTATTTCTCTCTCCCTCTCCCTTCCTCTCTGAAATCAATAATATATATTAAAAAAGAAAAGAGAAAGGGATACCAGCAGGTCAGATTGCTGAGAACTCAGCAGGCGGGACCCTTTTTTGAAAGAAGCCCTGTTGCCTCTGGAAACTGCCTGAGGTTCTGCAGGTTCAAGGTGAGGGAAAGTAGATGGAGAGAGCAGGAGAGGATCCAGAGAGGTGGACGGGGACAGGTGGGGAACGGCCTGCCCTGCACCCAGACAAGCGAGTGTGTGTGGGGTGGGCAGAAAACATTGCCAGAGATCCCTTTGGGCGGGGAATGGCTGTAGCCATGGAGACAGATAAGAGAGGCAGACACAGCTCTGCATGCCAGTGCAGTGCTAGGGTTTTATTTACCGCACTCACTGTGCTGTCCTTAAAAACAACTCTCAGAGAGAGAACCGCTCTGATCCAGGCCTAGCTAAGTGTGGAGGAGCTGGAGTGATGAGTAAGACCAGAGCTCCCAGCCTCCCTGTCCTGCCAGTTGCCGGATGGGTCACAGTCGGGCCCAAATTTGACAGAGTAGGTTTTTACTGCTTCTATGGCTTCTAAATTTTAAACATAAAGTGACAAGTTAAGGTTTACTTTTAAATTTAAAAATTTGAAATCTAATTCCAAAAAATGTTTTAACCTAGCACTTGTTATCCTAGGATAAATTGTCCCAAACCTTGTTCTGGGACACATCTGCCTACGAAAAATTGTTTTAAGGAGGAGGGTTTCCTTTTGAGTGATCTGAGAAGTATTGGTGGATACCACTGCCACTAGCACTCTAAAGGCTCTGAGAAGTCCTGCAGTGAAGGTTCTAGCCTAAGGTTTTTCCCAAACTTATTTGCATGTCTATTAATCCCTCTGCTTCTCAGAACTTATTATTATTTTTTTTTGAAAACTCCATCCTAGAGAGTGGCCTGAGGCTGGTTGGTAGCTCTGAGGGTGAAGAATGGGGCCCTGCCTGCCAGAGGGGGGGGGAGGTAGGTTTTGTGCGTATTCTACCCACAAATGCATGCTCAGGGACTGGCCCCAATACGTGCTCAGTAAATAATTAATAATGAAGGAATGGCTACTGTACTTGCTGGTGAGGAGAGTCCAGGATGCTCAGCAGAGGCTGGAGGCAGAGAGTACACACAGCGTTGGCCCCGTGCAAGTGTGGCTCTAGCAGTTCAGCGTAGGCTCTCTTTTCTCCTACTTGCCCCCTCCCTTGACTGTTTTGGAAAAGGCAATGAGAGGCAGCAAAGGCAAAGTGGTTTGAGGTACATGCAATGGAGCCAGAGTGCCTGGGTTTGAATCCCAGCTCTATCACATCCTAGCTCGTTCCTTGGACAAGTTGCCTTGACATGTCCGTGTCTCAGCACCATCATCTGTAAAATGGACCTAAATATAGTGCCCAGCTTCATAGCACCGGGATTCAGTGTTAATACAGGCAGGGTCCTCAGAGGGGTCGGCAGGTGGTAAGCACCACATAAGCACCAGCATTTGTTGGCGGCTTCATGTGGTTACCCCCCGGGGCCTTTATCCGAGTTCCCGTTCCCATTGTTTCCCAGCTGACCGCGATCCTCATGCTCCTGAGCAAGGCTGCCTGCATGTGTCTTCTCACCGGCATCGGGAAGGGCGGGGATGCGGCTGCTTCCTTTTCAGTAGTCAGGGCTGTTTGAGGTAAGGCTCAGGTTCCGTTCCCGGGTATTGGAGCTCCACCGCTCCGGCTGGGTGAATATTTCCCAGGGAGCCCAGCACATCTATTATTGATGTACTGCAGGCAGCCAATGTGCTTTGCAGCATTGCTTCTGCCTGCAGAGGTTTTTGTGGGCCACAGAGAGTTCTCCCGACCTTAGTGCTTGTCGTGGGGTGTGGTGGCAGTCAGCTCCTCCTGTCTCTGCCTCCCTGGGGAGGACCAGCCGCTGGGTGAGCCGTAGGTAAGGGGTGCCCATTGGATCCGGTGCAATGCTGACAATGGAGCAGGCAGAATCTTGTTCTTTGCACCTGCTTCTCTCAGCTTCACACCTGGCTTCTAGGCCAGCAGCCTGGGTGTCATCCTTGAGAGCTCCTTCTCTATCATGGCCCTGTGTCTCATCGGTCACCAAGCCCAAACCTCCCGAGTCCAAAATCTTCTCCCTGTACTATCCCTATTCAGCTGGTCCCAGCAGCCATCTTCTCTCATCTTCCAGGCCCCAACTCCCCTGATCCCCTGACTAATAAATCAGAACCCCTGCTTTGTGTTCCCACAGACCCCGCCCCCCTTTTATTTTAATCCTCACCTAAGGATATTTTTCCCATTTATTTATTATTATTATTTTTTAGAGAGAGTGGAGGGGAGGGTGAAGAGAGAGAGAGAGACATTGATGTGAGAGAAACATTGATTGGTTGCCTCCCACACATGACCCGACTGGGCCAGGGATGGAGCCTGCACCTGAGGTATGTGCCCTTGACCGGGATCAAACCCTCGACCCTTTGGTCTTGGGGACATTGCTTTAACCACTGAGGCAAACTGCCAGGGAACCCGCCCTACCTTTTTTTTTTAATTGCCTTTTAATCTTTAAGTTACTTGTTCCTGGTCTGACTTCTCTCTGTGTATGCCTATGAGGGTGGAAACCAAGTTCATCTTGGTAATAATGGTGCTTGACCAGTTAGTTCTCCTGGTTAAGGACAGACAAGAGTATCCTTTTCTCTTCTTCCTTCCTCCCTCACTTTCTTTTCTCCTTTC